GAGCAGCCAGGCAGAAAGGGACCTGGGGGTGCTGATCGACAGGAGGCTGAACATGAGCCAGCAGTGTGCCCAGGGGGCCAAGAAGGCCAATGGCATCCTGGCCTGCATCAAGAACAGTGTGGCCAGCAGGAGCAGGGCAGTGATCCTTCCCCTGTACTCTGCGTTGGTGAGGCCACACCTTGAGTATTGAGTTCAGCTCTGGGCCCCTCAGTTCAGGAAGGACATTGAGGTGCTGGAGCGGGTCCAGAGAAGAGCAACGAGGCTGGTGAAGGGACTCGAGCACAAGTCCTGTGAGGAGAGGCTGAGGGAGCTGGGGTTGTTTAGTCTGGAGAAGAGAAGGCTTAGAGGTGACCTCATCACTCTCTTCAACTACCTGAAGGGAGGTTCTAGCCAGGTGGGGGTTGGGCTCTTCTCCCAGGCAACCAACAATAGGACAAGGGGACATGGGCTCAAGCTCTGCCAGGGGAGGTTTAGGTTAGATGTTAGGAAGAAATTCTTTACAGAGAGGGGAATCAGGCATTGGAACGGCCTACCCAGAGAGGTGGTGGATTCACCATCCCTGGAGGTTTTTAAGCAGAGATTGGACGTGGCCCTTAGTGCCATGCTATAGTAATTGGAGCTGGATCAGGGGCTGGACTCGATGATCTCGGAGGTCTTTTCCAACCCAATCTATTCTATGATTCTATGATATTATGACTCTATGACTGAACCGCTCCCCTCGGAGCTCCCGCCCTTCCCCTCCGCGCTCCTCCCTCCTGTGCCCGCTCGGCGCTGCCGCGCACGCGCCCCGCCCCGCCCCGCCCATCGCCCGCCGAGCGCGGCGGATTCGAACGGACGGGACCCGCTCTTTCCCACCCCCTTCCACCTCCCCTCATCCCGCCGCTTTTTCCCTATCCCCCCCGCCGCTCCCCTGATCCCTCTCCGGTCCCCAGAGCGGGGGCTGGCGCCGGGGGAGCGCTCGCGCCGGGTCCCGTGCGCCGTGAGGAGGAACGGGTGACCTCGGCCGCCCCTCAGGACGTCCCGCTCCCTCTGGGAACACCGGCTCCCCTCAGGTACGGGAGCGCGGGAAGAGCGGCGGCTGACCCACAGCCGAGTTAGCCAAGTTGTTACAAGCTTTAAAAGATAAGTGGAAGCTTCGTTTCCACGTGCGAGCCGCCGGAGGGAGCTGTGTGAGCGCTCAGTGCGGTAACTGCGCTACATGCGAGGGTTTTGTCGCGTTTTATAACCTTATCAACTATTGGCTATAATAGGGTTAGCGATTGTATTACTGTAGACTGTAGTCGATGTATAACGCTCTTTTTGTGCCTCATACACAATTTCTTTTGTTGTTTTTTTTTTTTTTTTTAAATATTAATCACTGATGTAATCTCCTTGAGAGAGACTTAAAGAACTCCTTTGGATAAAGCAGGTACTTCTTGATTATTTCAGTGAATTTCCAACTCCTCGATTAGCGGGCACTTCAATATAATAAGGGTGTTCCCGGTTTCACGAGGAATTGCTGCGCTGATATAACGCGCTGCATTGATCTCCGGAGTTCAGGGAAATTTATTGTCTGATGTCACTCACTTTGTGCTTCCTCTCCTGCCTTCAAAAGTCAGTGAGACAAAGGGGAATTACAATATTTACTGCTTCAGATCGGGGTCCTTCTGAAAACTCTGCTTTTGTGCAGAGTGTTTCAGGTTGGGCCTTTTTTTTAATTCCCGCCTCTGTTTTTGTTGCCCTTCAGTGTGATGATGGAGGATGTGGAATCCTCACTGCTGGAAGATTTCTGCTTACACATCAACACGAAGATTTCGAATATTAAAAAATATTTGCAATTAAGAAAAATAGGTAAAGGAGATTAACAGTGGGGTTTGGGTTTGCTTCAAGAAAAGCACTCAGGGGCTGGAGAACAGAAGGGAGCTGGGGAAGGGTCTGGAGCAGCAGGAGCAGCTGGGGGGGCTCAGCCTGGAGAAAAGGAGGCTCAGGGGGGACCTTCTGGCTCTGCAACTCCCTGACAGGGGGAGGGGAGCTGCGGGGGGGAGGATCTCGGGCTCTGCTGCCAGGGAACAAAGGGATGGGACAAGGGGAAATGGCCTCAGATTGTGCCGGGGGGGGGGGATTATGTTGGATCTTGGGAACAGCTGCTTCATGGAAAGGGTTGTCCAGCCCTGGCACAGGCTGCTCAGGGAGTCCCCATCCCGGGAGGGGGTTAAAAGCCGTGTGGATGTGGCACCTGGGGACGTGGGTTAGTGGTGGCCTTGGCAGTGCTGGGGTTACGGTTGGACTCCCGTGGTCTTAGAGGGCTTTTCCAAACTGAATGATTCCATGAGCTCTGTTGGCTGTGTGGAGTACGAAAGCTGCTTCTCCTGGGTGGGAGGATATGGCAGCTGGGGAGTATAGAGTTAATAGGTAATCACCGCTTGTGGAGGGGAGGGAAATGGGATTTTGTTTTGTTTTGTTTTGTTTTGTTTTTGTTGGAGGTTTTGTGGCTTAACATTCTCTTTTTGACAGGTGAAGAAAAATGCCTCAGAGTTCTCCTGCAGAAAATAGGAAAAGATGTGATCCTCTTGAATGATCTCCTGAATAAAATGGAAGCTGAAGTTAATCAGCAAGAAAAAACGAAGCATATGCTACAAGTAATATTTTTTTTTTCTTGTTCGTAAAATACTACAAGAGGAGTCTTTGATAAGTGTGTAGTTGTTTTTTTTTTTTTCTTGATCCTCAGCGGTATGTTTGGATGCTTGTTCTTAGAAGAGAAACTGGGGCTTGGAACAGCCTTGCTGACAGCTTATTAAGCAGTTCTCCAGCTAGAGGACATTAAAAATTTTGCTTTTCAAGGTTTTTACGTGGAATCATAGAACCACAGAATGGTTGGGGTTGGAAGAGACGTTAAAGCTTATCTTGTTCCAACCCCCTGCCACGGGCAGGGACACTTCACGCTATCCTGGGTTGCTCCAAGCCCTATCTAGCCTGGCCTTGGACACTTCCAGGGATCCAGGGGCAGCCACAGCTGCTCTGGGCAACAACCCATGCCAGGGCCTCACCACCCTCACAGGGAGGGATTTCTTTCTAATACGTAATCTAAACCTTCCCTCCTTCAGCTGGAGGCCGTTAGGAGCATATCTTTATCACTGACCTCGAAAACATGTTTTTATCATAATAGATACTGTGATCTAAAGAGCAGTTCAACTTGTACAGCTTTGCAATAACTACAAAAACTGTTTGATTAGAATATTTATCTGTTCTAGTGTGTGTCTGCAGTGCCTTCACGTGTTAAGCCTTTGGGGAATGGGTTGTTTGGGGAATGTAGGTGAGTGTGCTGTGGTATCTCTTCGTCACTACCACCACTCCCCTACCCAGACCTCGCTAGTTGTGCCTTGCTAAAGATTTGCATTTGCCTGCTCAGGTTTCTCAGGCACTTCGAGGGCAAGGGCAAGACACTCCTCGCTCTGTTTCTCTGAGCTTTACTAGCTCCTGTTGGGAAATGATGGGCTAAAGAGGCAAGATGACAGGGAGGGAGCAAAGGACACCTCTTAATAAAGCTGAAAATTAATTTAGTATTGCCCTGATTTTACTTGCCTGACGTCGGTAGGTTAAGCTTTCTGATGAAGGTCTCACGTTACTTTCAGGAGCTCCAGCAGGCTGCCGAGAGAAACCTAAAAGAAGCGCAGCACCTCCTGGAACACATTCCTCCCCACCTGCCCAAGCGAACTCGGAACACGTACGTGGTACACGGGCATGGAGGGTGTCAGGCTGCTGATTTTATAACTGTGGTGCCTGTGGATTGAAGGGTGGGTTAGTGATCCCAATGCCAGGCCAATCAGAAGTGAAGCTCACCACAGTCCTTCCAAACATAATTTAAAAAAAAAAAATCCTCTGACTTGATCATCTTTCTGTGGGGCTTCCGGAGTCCCAGTGTCTGGGGATCCCAAGACTTGTTTCCAGCCTTGTCAGAAGGCAGTTCATCAGTCTGTTTTAATTCAGTGCCCTCAGTATCTCAGCTTGTTACCTTGGTCTGGTGCCTGATGCCAGACAAGCCTCTCAGGCTTGAAAACGTTACAGGTGCATTCCAGCAAAGCAAAAGGTTAAGTATGTGGAAGTAGGGTTCCAGAAGAGAAAAGTTAGCTGTAATTTTAGTTGGTGCATAGCAACATTCCCATTGGTGTAGGTCCTGATTTTATTGAAACTCGGGTTGGCCTTAGCTGGTGGAGAGATGACTTTTGTAGGAGCTGCTTCTGATTGCGGCTCTTTGGACATGAGCCCTCGGATTAGGAAACGGTCTCTCAAAATGTGTCGAGAGGTGTCTGGTTCCTTTTCAGTTTAAGTGTTCCTTTGTGTGTGTGTGTGTGAAAGAATAGAAATCCTTCAGAAATTACCGATGAGTTTCTGCCTTCCTTGTCGCAACCTGCTTTCTTAATTCAGGAAACCCTTTGTCCTAAGTTGGTGTCAGCTCCTGGAAATTGTCTAGATGCAAATGAGGCTTATTTAGTGATTGTGCCACCTCTCATATCAGAAAGATTCTTTGGGGTGTTGGTTTCCCTTCCCAATATTGTCCTGCTTGTGATCAAGAAGTTAATTGCGAAATGACTTCAGCCGGTCCTTCCCATTCTGGACAGAACCACGGATGTAAAACCAACCAAGCTTTTCTGATCATTTTCTGCAGACTGTGCTCTGCCAGCTCGCAACTGCTGTTCTGTCAGCGTCAGTTTGTTGTTGGTTTCTCCCGGGTAATAACAAGTTATATGTTAATGCCTTTTGTCAAAACGTGCTTTCTCCTTTTGTCCCCACCTCGTCACTTCTTGGTGTTCGCCGTGTTGTGCAGTGGAGGGTGGAGGAAGTGCAAGACAGGGCATAATTGATCAGAATCCACCGTACCACTGCCGAGATGCTTTCAGTCCTCTTCCCCAAACCTCCCTCCACTGACCTCCTCCCTTTGTGTTCCCTTATGTCCCCGAATGGGTGGGGACGGGGGTACTAATGGACTGTCATGAGAGGGTGGCGAGACAGGCCTTGAAACCCCCCCTGGGAGAATGAAAACACCCACACAGATGAATTGAACGATTCATGGCTTTAAGCTATTGTTTCTCTCCTGTGTTCTTGGGGGTTTTTCTTTTCTTGTTTACCAGAGGAATCTCACTGAAATGAAAAAGCGAGCTCGATGTCTCTCAAAGCCTTTTTATTATCCCAGGTGTTTACCGAGAGCGGTTTCTCACCGTGCCAAGGCCGGATTTCGTAAACAAGCGTCAGTTCTTTCTTCTCGTGGTTCAGGTCGTGGTGAACTGTATCTGCACCACGTCACTGCGGCGGCACAGGGTCAAGGGATTCGGTGGGATCACAAAGCAAAAGCACCTGGGGATGAGGGAACCACGTAGAACCATTGTTGCGGTAGGATGGATGCCAGGAGACTGGAGCGTGGGAGGAGTGAAGTTTCAAGATGTGAACTCTCTTCCCTCTGTCCTTGTTTTTATCCTTCCATTCCAAACCCACCTCCAGTACCACCCAGAATCCCCCCTGCTTCCCTTCCCTCCTCCCTGTTGACATTCCCTGCTATCTCCAAGGATGCTGGGATTCACGTTGTTGTTGTTGTTCTGACCAAAACAGATGTTTTTCAGATGTTTACATCGGAGGAGGTTTATACCTACTGGTGTCTCAGAAGGGCTCTGAGTTGTGTCAGGGTGCTGAGCTGCTTCTGTCCCTGTCACCAGCCAGGGAGAGTCCAGCAGGTGGCACTTTTCTTCCCTGGGACTGGGACACTGGGATTGGGTGTGTCACATCAAGCGACACCTCAAATCCCAGCCCCGGGGCCCGCAGATGGTGGGGGCACTGCTGTGCCAACAAGAATCTCTTGTAGGAAGGTCAGATCAAAGTGGAGGATCAGTTTCTCGTGCCAGGTCAGCTCTGTACTGCTTTTAGTTAATTTTGTTGCACATCCCAATAATGTCCATGTGCTCCAACAGCCAAATGTATCCCCTTTGCTGTCCTCGTGTCAAGGAGCCTCTGGGTGGGTGGCTGGGAAGTCACTCTGGGTTTGAGGCTCTAAGCTGAGCCTTTAGAAGAACGGTGAATTTTAAAAAATTATGCCCAAAAAACCACTCAGAGCAGGAAATTCTTTGACTTTGGGGATCTTGCCTAAAAAAAAAAAAAAAAAGAAAATACTAAAAAAATCCCGGTCTGCTGGATGTCGTTGAATTTCTTTGCCTCAAAAGATTAATGGATGAGTCAGGCTTTCCAAGATTTGAACTCGTTTCAGAGAGCTCTGAAGTATTTCGAATCTGCAGCTCTGTGCTGCGGGTTCATCTGATAAAAAGCCAGGCCCCGTGTTCTGTGAAATGTAATGGTACATTGAATTCTGCGTTTGGACTGCTTGCAACTCGCCTGCTAAGCAGCCTCTGGGGCAGAGAAACCAAGAGCTGGGATGAAGTCACCTGAAGGATGCAGTTTGAAACGGGAGTGGGCTCGCCGTGTTTGCTTTTGTTTTGTGGAATGTCATTACTTGTGTTCATCCAGCTTAACAGGTGGATTCGGATTTACATCTGTGAGGAAGCAGACTCGATAATGTGGTGGAATTCTCCTCGCTACTTCTCTGCTATTTACACACTTAATATTCATTCATTTCGCAGCGTCCCTGTGCCAGCTGCGAAACACGGAGAGCAAACGAAAGCGGCAGAACCCGAACCTGCCAAGCAACCTGAAAAACCAAAACAAGTCATTAAGAAAATGGCATTGATAACGGCAGAAGAATTTGCAGATGTTCCTGTGTAAGTAAGCGTGGCTTTCCTTACACCCTGTCACGTCGGTTTGGGTGGCAAACCCAGGTTTGGGAGAGTGACCTCCTGCAGAACTGGGACTGACAGAGATGGCTTGAAACTTTAATGATAATAGCTGCAAATGGTTGAAATGCAGCACTGGCAAACCTGAAAATGAAATTATTGGTGTCTTCCCTTTTATTGGGAAGATCAGAACTAATCAGCAAAAACCCTCTTACTGCAAAAGTCACTGTAGTTGATATGAACAGAAATTTATTAGCTAACAGGTGAATTCTCTTCTTGTTTTGAGAACTGACCAAAAAAGCTGGAGCATGGGAATGTTTGGTGTTTATCTCTGCTCTGGCAAGAGAGGTAGACACAGACCATTCCAAACAAATATTGTTTTAACTTCCACTTAAAGCTTCCACTTATCCGTGTCACGAGACAGGTAGTTGTGGCACTTGGGGGACTTGGGTCAGTGGTGGCCTTGGCAGTGCTGGGGGAAGGGTTGGACTTGACGATCTCGGAGGGCTTTTCCAACCTACAGGATTCTGTGATCATCCTTGAGAACAGAAGATTTTCCTCTGCTGTTCATGGACACAGAGGGTGGGGAGAGAGGCCAGATGGAACTTTTCCCTATCCATTGCAGGCTTGGACTGTGCTGGTGGAGCTCTAGAAAGAATTTTATTCAGCTGGGAAAAGCATGTTTGTTCTGTGGAGGAAGATTTACATGAATTTACATGGATCTATTAATCTACCAGTGCTACTGTTGCCTGGCAATGTTGTAGTACAAGAGTGAGGGAATGAATCTCGAGCTTCAGAGGATGGTAACTTGGGGGAATATGTTTCCTTCAGTCTCAGCATTTTTGAGGGAGCAGGTGGTGGCCATGAAGAGATTTATCTCTTTTGGTGTGGTCTATTTGGGATACACTGACGTGTGCTCCTTTTTCTCTGAGGAACACATCACTGTGCTCTGGTTTTCATACCTTTGGGAAAGAATGTTTCGAGAAAGCGCTTCTGTGGATTAAAAGAAGAAATTGGGTCACTTGTTTTGGTTCTCTGTTACCGAAATCTACAGCAAGCACTTATTTTTCAGTTGGCAGCGGTAAAAAAAAAGAATCCTGCCCACGTTCTGATTTGGAATATCGAAATTGTAATTGATTAGCCACTTCTGCTTTAAATTAATTCTCTGTGCGTTTTCCAAAGGCATTCGGTTTGCCGTAGCAACTGAATGATGGTCACAGGATAGGGAAGGCTGGCCTGGCTTTTACTGACACGTTTTTGGAGGGGGGTTTGTGTTGTTATTATTCCAGTTTCAGGTTTCATTTTTATATAACGGCTTCTCAGTTCCTTTCCCTTATAGGCACGCCTTTAATATCTATAAATACTGAATAGCCTTACTGGCAAATTATCCCAGTGTTCTAGTTTTTCCACGTGGCTTTGGTTTTATCTTCCGTGCTTCCTGTACCTCGAGGCTGTTATCAGCAGAGAAAACTGCCTCCGACTGGGAATGGCTCGCTCAGTTAAGGCTGATGAAAGAGAGAAATAAACAAGGAACTTTGCGACTTTCTGGTTACTGATTTTTCTTTTCCATCCGCAGGTATCTGAAAGGCCGTTTGGGACGCGATCAGATCAATGCAGTCGTTGAAGAGATCAACAAGGCCGTCGTGGGCAAGTACAAGATCATGCATCGGCCTCTAAAATCTCTGGGTTTTGCTGCCAGAAACCTCTACAGCAGGTTCATAGAAGAAGAAACTAAGGATACAAAAGGTATTTCCTTTTTTTTTCCCCCCCCCTTTTTCAGTACCTAATTCACGACACTTGGATGTTGCAGCACAAGTATGACAATACTGGACTTTTTTTTTTTTCCTGTATTTTTGAACCAAAAAGAGTTATCCCATAACTGATTTGGTCGCTTTTTTTTTTTGGCGTGTTTTCACTGAAAACACGTCATTTCCGTGGTGTGTCGTGCACAAAGATTTAAGTTTGGAATCACTACAAGTTCTGGAAACTCCCAGTCTGATAAACAAAGCGTATAAACTGTGTTTTCAGTTTTTCAAGCTAGGATGGACATGAACTATTAAAAATTTGTTCTGAAGCTGGGAAGTCTGGCTAATCAATCATAATGCAGTGGCTCTGTGGCAGAAACAGGTCTGTCTGATAAGAAGTTTTCTGCTCTTAAAAGCTTGGAGGGAGCGAAAATCAACCAGAATTCCTTGCCCTCAATTGAAAAGCAAGTTGTACTTACAGGTTAGCTTTTCCAAAAATATGCGGCGCGGTAAATCTCTGATATTAAAATCTCCTTTCTGACATTCCTTTCCTTCTGAGAACAAGGACGCAGTAGTTCCTGGAGGGGTGTGCTGCACGTGTCGAGCTTGGCCGTGCCCTCAGGATGCCCTCACGCTTCCAGGTTCAGACGTAAAGAGTGGAGCAAACTCTGTTCTGTCTCACAGAAAAAAAAAAAAAGAACTTTCTCTGACAACACCTTGGCACCCACCTCCCTGTTTCTGGCCCGGACAGAACGTGAGAACGTTCTGCCCCGAGCGCTCACCGTGTACTCAGGAGGCACTTTATGACAAACTGCAGCTTGTTCTTGCTTAGATTTTGTTGCTGTTCGAGACTCTCGGTGCCACAGGATGGTGATTACGTCGCTGCCTTCTGGATTCTGAATGCAGCTTTTCTGTGGGGAAGGAGCTCTGGTCTGATGGACCCGCCTGTCACTTTATTTGGAGACCTATAGGACAGGATCATGGACTAGTTTGGGTTGGAAAGGGCCTTAAAGATCATCTCATTCCACCCCCTGCCACGGGCAGGGATACCTTCCACTGTCCCAGGTTGCTCCAAGCCCCATCCAACCTGGCCTTGGACACTTCCAGGGGCAGCCACAGCTTCTCTGGGCAACCTGTGTCAGGGTCTCCTCACCCTCACAGCCAGGAATTCCCTCCCAATATCCTGTCTAAACGAGTGGGAAGCCATTCCCTGTGTGCTGTCCCTCCATCCCTTGTCCCCAGTCCCTCTCCAGCTCTCCTGGAGCCCCTTTAGGCCCTGCAAGGGGCTCTCAGGTCTCCCTGGAGCCTTCTCTTCTCCAGGGGCCTGGAATGCTGCTCCACGATCCACAGGAGCCTTTCCAGCGACTTGAGAAAGCTACAGCTAGTCAGAAATTCCTGGCAGAAATTTGGGGGGCTTTAAATCGGAAAGATTGAGGTGTTTCATTTCTTCTAGCACCCAAGAGACAGCCTTATTTTCTCGTTTATGCTGGACAGCTGGACATTCAGCATCTGTGTGTGTGTTTGTGTGGTAGGTTGTTTTGTTTAGGGTTTTTTTTTTCGTGACTAATCATCCAGAAAGTCTAGAGAAAAGGGTCTGGCAGGCTGTCAGACAGTTCTTATCTGGCCAGCACGAAATGATTAAATGTCTTTATCCCTCGCATTTTGCAGGATGAGGTTGTGCATTCATTGATTTGTTCGCTTAAATCTCTGCCGTGAGTGACCCTCTGCTTAGAATTCCCAGAGTTTCCCAGCCTGGGCTGATTGCCAGCTCTGACCTGTTCTCTGATTTCAAGATGAGGAAAGATGCTGCCTGGTTTATCAGAGTAACTTGCAGCCAGTAAGGCGGTTCAGGTAGTTTAGTTTAGTTGTTTTAGTGCATGGACCAAACCACCACCCTTCATCCAGCTCTGATTTCTTCATAAAAAAGATCCTGCTATGCTGAATGTTGCTGCCCTGAATTCTGGGGAAATAGAAGAAGAAATCTTACCAAAATTCAGGACATTCTGGTGTTCCCCTGATATAACAGACTTGGGAGCGCTTCCCTCTACCTCCCCTCCTTAACGATAATTGGACATTTCCTTCTTTGTGCCTCAATTAACACATCCCTGGTTACAGATTGCTTTCCTTTCTTGAAAGATGGTGACCGTGCATCTTGGGGAGATGCACGGTCAAAACCTTTCATGGGAAGGCTGGTAATTCTGATGACAAATCTACAAAGCAGAACAAAGTTCCTGAATCAGCATGAGGCCTTCCTGCTGCCGATCGTAGCTTTTCCATCGGCGCGTGGAATCGTCAGGAAAAGGCGAAACGTTAAGCATGTCCTGTCCTTTCCCTGGCAAAAAAACCCATCGCTTGTTTTCCAGGTGAATTCTTTATCGTGGAGGCTGATATCAAGGAGTTCACCCAGCTGAAGACGGACAAGCGCTTCCACAACATCCTGAGCATCCTGAGGCACTGCCAGAGGGTGAGAGAAGCCCGCAGCGCCAAACTGGTCCGCTACATCATCTGTTAACTCTTCCACGTGGTCTGCCTGCCCAAAAGAGAGACCTCCAGCTCTCCAGCTCTCTCATTTTCTGAAAGCCAGGAGTGAGGGAAGAGGGGGCAGTACTTGAGATTTGTTTGGAAAAGTCGAGGGGGAACTGCTCTCTTTTGGTAAGTTACGAATTCAGACCGTGAAGCAAAACCGGTTACGGGCGGCTTTAACCACGTTTTCTTGTCAGAACACGAAAGTTAAGTTCTCTGCGTATTACTAATTTGGCTTTTGTGCTTATTAGTTGAAAGATTGTAATAAAGACTCTGGAGCTACTCAAAGGAAGCATTTGTTGTTGTTGTTGCTGTTTTTTTTTCCTTAATGCCTCTAACCAATTTCCAGATTTCCTTTTTTTAATAATTCTTCTAATTGTATGCTTTGGGGTTTTTTTTACGTCAGCAGGTTGACTTTTCTTCCTGTGCCATTTTACTTTGTGATTATGTAGCTTTAACGTTGAAAGTTGTGGGGAAGAAGCAAGAAGAGCCTCGGCTGGGCCCGGAGGAACCACGTCCAAGCGAAAAGTAGTGAGCACTTTTCCTTTTTAAGGAGAGGTCCCACGTGTGGAACAGTTGTGGCAGCCTCGAAAAGGAGCCTGGTGATGGGCAAACAAGGCTGGGAGACGGGTGTCTGATGTTTTGATTAGTAGTATAACTGGGGAAGATGATCGAGGCTGTGCTGGATGGGGCTTGGAGCAACCTGGTCTTAGTGGAAGATTGTCCCTGGGCTTTAAGGTCCCATCCTGTGAGACCTGTTCTTAATGATTAAAACTCGCCTTTCTCCAAACATTTGATTCCTTGCCGAATCAAGATGAAATCATGTAATGGTGTTCCACCACAATCCAGTGGGGGTTTGCTGCTGACAGTGGTTTTTTGAGGCTGGGATCCTTGGGATTGCTTTTTCCTTCTGTTGGACGTTAAAAATCAAAACCTGGTGATATATAACATAACCTTGGTTTTGCCTGTTCACTGTAAAGTCCCGAGAGTTTCATCAGAAGTTTTTTTTTTTTTTTCTGTTCAGGTATCACTGAACAGTTTGGGTTTTTTTTTTCTTTTTATTTTTATTTTCTTAGAGGAAAGGCCTCGCACATCCCAGGGGAGCTGGGGTTTTGCGCCTCTGAAAAGCCGCGTCAAAACCGAGCTGCCCTTCTCCAAAAGCTCTTTGTTCCCGTTGCTTTGCTGGTTTTTGTTGGTTAAAAACAATTTAAAAAAAAAAATAAAAAAAAGGCATTTCTTCTTTCTCCTTAATTCTTCTTTTGAAGAGGCACTAATGGAGGAAATAATTAGCTGTTGAAATCAACTGCTCAGAGCGCTGGCACCCCTGAGCACTGAGCGCTGCGGGTTGTTTCGGGAGGCAGTGATTTCCATCTGTGAGAGCACATGTTCCCTTTCAGAGTAGCCATCAGGAGGAAGAGAAAAGGAGCATTTCCTGTCATTCACAGGTCTTTGCTTACAGTCCTCGACTGGGGAGTCTCCCCAGCTGAGAAAGGTTTCTCTCCCATCCCTGATTTTTTATCAGATGACCATCCGAATTGTTCTCCCGACTTAAAAATCTTAAAGCCTTTTTTTTCCTAGGATGATGCTTGCCGTGGTGCCTCGTGGGACTGAGTAATCAGTCACAGGTCTGCTTGCCTTCCCGAGCCCGTGAAATTTCGGAGCCTTTGTGTGTCACAAACAAGATGATACATATTTAAGCAGCTTAATATCCTCATAATTAGCTTTCAGTGCTAACCCCTTTTCCACGGCAAAGCACAGAAACAATGGCGCTTGCTAATTAAACGGTTGGTTTTTTTATTTATTTATTTATTTTCCTGTCACGCAGAATTTTCTGGGAGTTGGGGACGCAATTAAAACGCAGAAAAACTTGTTCAGCTTTAAAAATGGTTGGGTTTGCGTATAGGCAAATTTATGCAGCAGCTGAGAAACCTAAATAATTCAATTCCCCCTGCGGCCCAAGCAGGCCAGGAGTTGGATGAGCTGCTTCGCAGACGTGTGAGCCGTGCTGGCTTGAAGGATTTTCTGGCCTAGTGGTCCCTCATTCTTCGATAGAAACTGCCCCCCACTAATCATCAATAATTCAGCTGTGGCTCAGCACGGCGGATTAACCTTTGGGAACGCCCTGAGGTTGCTGCTCCCTGCAACTTTTGCTTTTAAAGCAGCGAAATTAGTCGTTCAGGGAACGCCCTCGCTTCTGGAAGGCTCGTTTTGGGGTGATGGCAGCGACTCAGTTGTTGTGCAAGTCTGAGATTTATTCAAATGTTTGGTTTAATAATCCGTATTTTCCTCTTTGTTTTAATAGTCTGGGGTTTTTTTTTTGGTGGTGCCTTCAGCCATGTCAGGAATGTCAGGAATACTGACAGGGTTGCTCCAACACCCACCATGGCAGCATAAGGGTGTTACATCCCTGCCTGGTTACTCGTGGATGATATCTGGGTGTCCCTTTCTTCTCAGTTCACAGCTGGATGTGATGAATTATCCACAAGTTGGTGAATTTTGTTAAAATCCGATTCCCAGACATCCCTGCTTCAGATGCCCCTTCTCCTCGTGCCAGCCCTGGGACGATGACAGGCAGAGATATCCACCTTGGGGAAGGTTGGGAATGGGCTGGCCGGCAGTGGTAGGTCATAGGAGACCTGATGGTCACAGCAGAGCACAGGTTAAAGTAGCAATCCATTCCTGAAGCTATTGCAAAGTAAGCCACTAAATATATATATAAAAAAACTGAATTTACCAAGCTCTTATGTCAGAAATGGAAAGCAACCAGCCAACCTGCTAACAACAGGCGTGGACTCAGCTTGGAGCCTTTCTCTGTGAGGTCCTGGTTGCCTGTTAGGGCTGATCAAAGAGAAGCCAGAAGCTGGAAGGGAGGATGGCCACGAGGGTGTGATGAAAGGGAAAAAGCGAGGAATTTGGGTTGCTTAACGGTCGAAACCTTTAACAGTGGGTTCAGGTTTATCCATCCTCGTGGAGCTTGAGGGTGATAAAACACGGGAGTGATGCACTCCCGCTTGTGATCCAGCTGGTGTTTGCCTTGATGGTGATAATTACGCAGAAGCAAGACAAATGTTTAATTAAGAGCAGGATTGTTGCTTGTCTCTTGTCCGCTTCCATCTGGGAAGAGCAGGGTCGCGCCGGTCGTCTCGGCAGCCTCGGGGCCTGCCAAAGAGTCAGGAAATAAAATGCAGCCCAAAAAGACTAAGGGGACCCTTCATTCCCTGCTGCCACCGTGAGAGCTTCTAACTTCCAAGTAATGCTTTGCCCAAAGCTCACACCCACTGAGGGTTTTATTTGATTAAAATACGTAATTCGGGGTGGTGTGTCCTGACGGGTCGGGTGCCTTGAAAAGAAAACTTGCTCTTCCAGGTGATGTAGTTACCTGCCTCCAGATGAACTTCAATCCAAAGGACATTTTTCCAGCTCTTCCAGTAATGTATTCCTGCAATATCCTGGGAGTCGGAAAGCTTTTAAACCCCAAAAAACCGGAGGTTGCAAAGGCCCCCGTATTTAAGCGCGTCTGAATAAATTGGCTGTAAATCCTCAGCCTGTGCTGCCTCTTGGGAAGGCTCATCAAGGTGAAGGTGGCCCTGTAACCTGACTGCACGGGGAATTGGCATTAAAATATTCCTCTTCTCATTGCTTGTCAAGTGGCAGGGGGTGTTGGGGGCAGAGCTGCCTTCCCCGCCTTTCAGTAACAGCAGCGAGCATCAGCTGCCGGAATAATTTAAATATCTTCTCCCTCTGGGAAATCACATTGATCCTAATAGGGGTTTTTTAATTAAATAATATGCTGACTGTTACGAGCTGGGAATGTGTTGATTTTTGTGTGTGTGTGTGTGTGTTTATTATTTGCAGCGGCGTTTCCTTCTGGTTGTCGCTCGCTCGAGGAGGGAAAGGCTCGGGATTGCTTCCCACTGGGAAACAGCCCCAGGACCTGCCCACAGGCTGCACCCAGGAGGATGGGATGTGGGAATACGTAGATGAGCAGCTGGAGAAGTGTTAACCCCGCAGTGAATTGCCACAGGAGACGTCCCAAACCCAGTGCCAGCGCTCTCCTCCTGGTGAACCAGCTCCTCACTTCTCCCCTCCAGGCAACGGGGAAAATTAGGAAATGGCTGGAGTTTCACCGTTCCTCTCCCCTGCTGGTAATGAAGCGGGTAATTAGGCAGAACAGGAGCGATTTCACTGATTCTTTAGAAGCTGATGGACACAGAAAAAGGCCTGTTTCCTCCCCCCACCCCACGCCGGTGAATCCCAGCTCCCCACGCTCCACAGAGCGCTGGTGCTGCGGGGCAGAGGCTGGGAGGTGCCATGGCAACATCTCAGGCAGGAGGAGCTGGTTGGGTAGGAAGGCACGCGCCGATTAAAATTTCAACAGCCTCCCATGCGAGGAGCGAGCCCGTGCAGCGGGGAACCCCAGCTGTGGGAATAAAATATGAGCACTGAAGGGATGTCTGTGCTGGTGGGCACCCACAGACAATACACAAAGAACTCCCGGTGCTCCCGAATCCTCCTCAGAGCCACCAAGACTCTGCCCAGAGCAGGTTTTTTTGCCTCTGGCCTTCGCAGAGGTCGAGCATCATCTGCTGCTGCCGCCCTGCCCAGGCTCCACTTGCAATGAGACCGAAGGCTCCAGCAAAATCCGGCTCCTGTGAGGCAGGAGCTGATGGGGACAGTGGAGTGGAGACCCATCAGCTCCCCTGCCCTCTGCACCCATGCCTGATTTTGGGGCTCATCACCTCCGGTGATGACCAGGTCCTGCCAGACTTGCCCGGCTCCATACGGGCTGGAGGAGATCCGGCCGGAGGGTAAGGGCAGGCTCACGGCTCTGCCGTCGTTAGCACCTCATCAGCAGCCAAATTTTCCCCGTTAGCACCTCATCAGCAGCCAAATTTTCCCGTGCCGCTGGTGCCCCCGGAGCCTGTGATTCCAGTGGTGCCACAGCATCGCTTCCCACATCCCGTCCCTCCCGGGGCCCCGTGTGGTGTC